AAAAAAAAAAAACACAACACTTTCAATTTTTTTCATGACCACCATAAATTTTTTATTTTTTCGACCACTGGGCGTCGATCTTTCTGGTCGACCGCCGGCGGCCAAGCACCAGGCGAGCAACTGCCCACTCAGGCAGCCGGCCCATGGCAAGCTATTTCGTTAATTCCGGGCTGATTTTTGGCTAATCCCCAAAGCGAAGGAGAGCAGACGCCAAAGGGGCCCGACTAGAAAGCGCGCCGGGGTTGCCGCCATATTTCCGGGGGCGCATAATCATCGCGGGCGCCGCCCTTCGGGCACCCCCCTGCGCCCCCCGGGAGGGGAGGCGCGCGCCGAGAAAGGCGCCAAAGGGTGCCCCGGCACAGAAGAAAGGCCAAGGAGCCTGCGAAGCCTGCGCTTGGAGGACCTCCGCCAAATCACAACGGAGGCCGGAACACGACCCCGGCGGACCTGTTGTCTGTGGGTTTCCAGAGCGCCACCCCTGCAATCTTCGGGGCAAATTGAAAAGGGCGCCGGCCGGGGGGAATCCATTCAAAGACGCAAAGGCCACGAGAGGCGGGAACTGCGGGCGGCCGGCCTGCCGAGAAAAAGCAGGGCATCTAAGGACAAACGGCGCCGACTGAGAGCCCAGTGGTCTGGCGGAGTGACTGCCGCGCGGGGGAAGGTTAATTCCTTGGGTTTTTGGGGTAATTTGTGGTCTAATTTATAGTCTAATCTGTAGTCTAATTTTTGTTCTAATTTCAAAACCAACAAAACCCTCCCGATTTCGTTGTGGTCAGATTAACCCCGGAAATTACCCCCGGGGTTACCCTCTTCATTAACCGCCCGGGACCGGGGTGGTGTTTGGAAGACCAAAACACCCCGGCCTCGCGCCTGCCTGATTTCCAGAGCCGGGCCCTCTGCGCGCCGCCCCCCATAAATGCAAAGGCGCCGGGCCCCGGCGGATTTGAGCCATGGCCACACGGAAAAACCCCTATGAGCCAAACCACACCAAACGACCCCCGCCCCTCGGAAAGATGCCGGACAAAGAAAAACCGAAGACCCGGGCAAGGGCCCGACCCGAGACATTCCCCGAGGTAGGGGACAAGAGCACCCGAGGGCAGGCCACCACCAAAAGCCAAGGCGCCGCGCGCGCGAAAGGGCCCACCGATAAGCGGCCCCCATCCCCAAGAGGACGGGGGAGGACACACAACCAGGGGAGGCGGCCCGGAAGCTTACGACACCCGGGAAAACGGAAAGCGGGAGCGCCACACTACGCCGCGCCCTCCGCCCCGAATACGGCGCGCACCCAAAGGGCGCCACACCCAACCAACCGGCCGGCGATTCCCAGAATTAGTGCCATTTTAACGAAATTTCACTAGCGGAAATTGCCTCGGGCCGGCTGCCTGATGCCCACCACCCTCCCCCGGCGCCCTCCTTCTGTTCGCGAAGGGAAAGTCGCGCCCCAGCTGCCCACCACCCTGCCCCGGCGCCCTCCCCCCCTCTGTTCACGAAGAGGCCGGTAGAGGGCGCCGCCGTCCGCCGTCTCTGTCTTGGAGGGTGCGCGCGAGGGAAACAGGCGGGGGCGAAACAGACTGCATGCGGGCTAACACGGGGGGCGCCGAT